CTCCACACTGTCATGCCAGAAGTTCGCTGCGGGGTACTCAGCAAGATGGGGTGTGGCTGAGGTTGGGAGGTGGTTCCCTGTCTAGTTGGGAGCGACAACTGGCACAGGCCCCCTGGTGTGTCTGGGCCTGGGGGAAAGCAGTGACATGGGTGGTGCTATCTGCACCTGGTCCTGTGCCCTGGCTTTGCTCCTCCTGGTATAATAATGTCACTTGCTCTAAAATTTACAAAATAAGGAACACATAAAACAGAATTATGAACAAAGGAAACTTCTGATGAGAAGGAACAACTACAAAAGTTTATAAATGCTTACTTTTTTCTGGGGAGGTTGTTTTGGCCATTGCTCTACCTGACATGGGACTCCCGAGAAGTAAACAGATCCCAGACTCCAAAACCGTGAAGAGCTTCTGACAGGGATGAGTCTGGGAGAGCTGCTGGTACAGTTATTTCAAACAGGCTCCTTTTTCTGCAGTGTCTTCCCCAAAAAGTGGACGGAGCACAGGAAGATAAGAGCAGCTCTGGCTTTAGAGACGTGTCTCCCCCCACCCGCCGTCCCCACTGGTTCCCCAAATCCCCATCACTGTCTCCCATTCAGCCATCCTGGGATTGCTGCTTCAGCCTCCTGTGTGAACTTACTTCAAATCTGTCGGTACATTTGCTCAGCAAACTGCCACTGAGACAGTCTCACCTGCCGTTCTGGACATCCTGGTCCCTGCCAAGCAGCTGTGCCAGGCGCTCCTGTAACCCCAGCTTCGCAGGAGGCCGAAGCGGGAGGATCACTTGAGCCCAGGACTTGTGGGCGATAGTGCACTGCTGATCGGGTGTCCACCCTGAGTTCCACATCAGTGTACTGACCTCCTGGGAGTGGGGGACCCCACCAAGTTACTAAGGAGGACTGGCCTGGCTGGAAACAGAGGGTCAAAAACCATGACTAGCTTCCCACTGCCTGGCAAATGGTATGTCATCTCCTCATAGGCCGTGCGTAAACCCTCCAAGGCATGACCATAAAGAAAAGCCCAGTGAAAAGAACATGAGAGCCGGGCACGGTGGCTGCACCTGTAGGACCAGCTGCTTGGGAGGCCGAGGCAGGAGAGTTCCTTGGGCCCAGGAGTTCAGGTCCTTTCTGGGCAAGATAACAAGACCTCATCTGTTAAAAAGAAAAAAAGACCATTACACTCAGCTTGCTCCTTATCTTTTAGTTCTGTTGCTTTATATGATTTTTAGAAATTCCTTTTACCTCATTTTTAAGCTTATTTCAATTTTTAATTGATAAAAAATGTTATATATTTATCACATGAAAAACAATATTTTAAAATATGTAGATGTTGTGGAATGGCTAAATCAAGCTAATTGACATGCACATTTCCTCACATGCTGAACGTTTGGGGGCTTTTTTGTAATGAGAAGTTTAACGTCTCTCTCAGCAGTTTTAAGTGTGCGGCACATCCCTGTTACCTGGCAGCCGCGTGGCCGGGTTGTGCGGCACGTCCCTGTTACCTGGCGGCCGCGTGGCCGGGTTGTGCGGCACGTCCCTGTTACCTGGCGGCCGTGTGGCCAGTTGTGCAGCACGTCCCCGATACCCGGTGGCCGCGTGGCCGGGTTGTGCGGCACATCCCTGTTACCCGGCGGCTGTGTGGCCGGGTTGTGCGGTACGTCCCTGTTACCTGGCGGCCGTGTGGCCAGTTGTGCAGCACGTCTCCTGGACTCATTCCTCCTTTTCAGCTGAAATCCCGTGTCCTTTGACCCGCATCTCCCAGATACCCCCACTCTCCCAGGCCCCGGTAACCACAGATCTGCGCTCAGCTCCTGTGCATTGAACTTTTTTAAATTCCACACAAGAGAGAACATGCAGCATCTGCCTCCCTGCTCCCGGCTTGTTTCACAGGACGTGAGGTCCTCCAGCTTCTTTCCGGGTATCACAGACGACAGGGTTCCCTTCTGTAGGATTGAGTACTGTTCCACTGTGCGTGTGTGCCACGTTCTCTGTCCTTTCATCCATCGATGAATACTCACTGAGCTTCATGTTTCTCACGAGGGAGTTGACATTAAATCAGGTCATATTTGAGATGCCTCGTAATTCTGAAAGTCTCTGGCCTTGGAGCTCCCTGATGTGAATTCCCGCCATCTTCCTCAATGCACTCTGCTTGGTGGCCACTTGGCAGCTCACGGTGCACAGGCCCTTCCCATGCTGGCCACTCCAGAAACCTGCAGGTCCTTCCTTAACCTGTGGCCTCCTGAGGTTCTGTGGCCTCTTGAGGTTCTGTGGCCTCCTGAGGTTCTGTGGCCTCCGGGACAGAGCTCAAGCACAGCCCCACCCTGCTTTCCTGCCCCGCCCTCCTCCCCTGCCGATTCCCAATTCCCACCATCATTCCCACTCCCCAGATGATACGTGCTCCTTTGGAAAGGGCTGTGCTTGCTGGTCTTCAAAATATATAGTGTAGTGCTTGGCACACACAGGCTGCCCAGTATATATTGTTTCCTTAACGGAGTAAACAGTAATGTAAAATTGCTTACATTGTTGTTACTAAGCCCAAGATGGTTTTTTCTTTTTTCTTTTTTGTTGGATGTAGGGTCTTGCTCTGTTGCCCACACTGTACTGGAACTCCTGGGTTCAAGTGATCCTCCTGCCTCAGCCTCTCAAGTAGCTAGGACTAAAAAGGGCATGTGCTACGGGGCCTGACTTCACGAGTATTTGTATAAACATAGTTATGCAAAGCTGCAAAGATAGAAAGTTAGGCTCACCCCATTCTAATGTGTTAGAGATTTATCTCTGATACAAATCAATAAGCATTAGGAATTTCTGAACTTGATACGTGCAGATAACCTGCTTTTCCACTATATTTTGTGTTTTTAGCTTTGGTTTGTGAGGCTAGCACTGCTGGTGAAGTTGGGCCTTTTCCAGAATGCAGAAATGGAATTTGAACCCTTTGGAAATCTTGATCAGCCAGACCTTTATTACGAATACTACCCTCACGTGTACCCCGGGCGCAGAGGTGAGAGGTGACACTCAGTATCTGTCACTTACAGGTATTCTGTGGTGCTTCCCTTTGATTTCCTCGGTTTTCTCTGTTTACCCACTCCTAAAAAAATCAAATAAGTATCTAGCAATGAGCCTTGGCTTACAGAATGATCCCGCCCAGCTTTATAAATCCCCTGCCCTCCGAGTACTCACTGAGGCCTTCGTTGGTTCATTTAACAGCCGTTTATCAGGCACCTGCTGTGTCGAAGTCGCGTGACTCCCTGCAAGGACTTGGGCAGCAGACTTCTGAACTGCACAGCCCAGTAACAAGTAGCTTCCCTCACGTACCTCTGTGTGTATAAATGAAACAAAAGCATCCCCAAAACAATACGCCTCTTACCACGGGGCACACACTGTGATATTTTCTGTTAGTGTCTATTCTAACTTAATTTAGTTTCAAAGTCTGCTTATGACCCACCCACTAGGTCATGACTACTGTCTAAAAAACACAAGCCACAGCATAGGGCAGTTCTACGAGGGTGGCAGGAAGTAAGGGGGGCAGACCATGAGACCTTCCACCCCACTGGGAGCCTCGAAGTAGGACGCACACCTCCTAGTGGGGGACCTGGTAAGCTGTGTGCAGCCTTCACAAAATAGAAAACAGCCTTGGAAGGGTGTCTCCAGAGACGCAGTGCAGCTCGGTCATTGAAAGCTGGGCCCTGCAGTCAGACCGTGACTCGTAAACCTCCAGCAGGTTGTTTGATGCTTCTGTCCCCAATATCCTTAGTGGTAAAACAGATGGTAATCCTGCTGCTTCCTTAAAGGACATCATGAAAACGAACGGATGTCCAGAACAGGGGCCAACACATAGTAGAAATTACTGCATTCGTTGTTTTTCTTATTCTATTCTGAATTAATGAGCAACAAATTAGACTCATATTGCCGTGTTTTTGTAAGATCTACTAGTCAATATTTGTTGGATTCCACATGGAGCTGCAAAGAATGGTCCTGGTTAGAGCCTAACTGAAGGTAGGACGTGTAACATAGTGACAGCACCTGGGTGGACAGAGGCCTGACCAATAGAGAACAGTTGCTGTAGAAGTCACAGAACTTTACATCAACGTTCTTTTTAACTTGGTTGATGTTAGTAGGTAAAGAGATGAACCTTGAAGGCTAGAAATAAAAGCAAATCTTTCAGCTTCTTTTTGTGTTTTTTTCCTTAAAACTTGGATCCGGTTTCCTTGGAAGGGATCTAGGAAAGGGCAGAGTCAGCGTCCTCTCTCCCCCAAGCTTTGTCCTCATCAGCTCAATTTCACAGCATGGGATTGGCAGGAACTAGGCTGTATATGCTGAGTTATCCCTGGATGGAAGAGGATCTTTACCTCTTTGGATGCTTTTTGACCTTTAGCCTCATTGGTATTAGAAACATTTCTTCCTTTTATCTAAGGAAATTTACCCCTTGTATTATAGAAAAGAAAAATGTTAAAGGCAATTTCAATACCTAAAACGGTGCATAAACTAAAGAGATCGTCTT